CCCCAAAACCCCAAAACCCCAAAACCCCAATTAGCTAAAGAATCTCAAAGTAAGTAAGTTAAGTCAATATATTAATAAATTCTTAAAAATGCAATCAAGCTAAAGTGTTCCACAAAGCTCGGGTTACTCATAAAATAGGAGTCTTTTGTAAAGTACTGGGTCACAAGCAGTACATTCTGTTCGACAAGGCTAAGCTTAAAACAATGCAGCTGGATTTCTCAATGTTGGCTACAGATCTCAAATGGTAAAATTAATGATTTATAAAAATTATGTATAGGGAAGTAGAATGAATACAAGTGCGTCTTAGCCTGTTTTAAATACAGCAGATTAGAAATTTTAAACAGCAACAAACAGAAATTAGACTTATAATTTGTCTGAGAATCAGGTCAGAGATTTCATGAATTAATTATAAAATTTCAACAAAGAATTCGGATATTCGAGAGACCCCGAAGTAGTTTAAGAGGAAAAATTAGCTAAAAATGACTTGTATAGGGAGCTCAATGATGTACAGTCACTTCATTACAATAAATATTTCTATGGATTAGCTCCCGATGATCCTAAAAATAGATTCTATTATGGAATGAATAATCAGGGTTATTATAATCATAACAATGTATATGTGCCTAGTGGAGATATAAATGATGGAAATTTAATGGCAAATGGTAACTTTAGACTTTAAGCTGAGGGTAGGTAAAACGGTTATTACTATTCCTAAATGAGAGCTAATGAATTCAAAAAGCATTTGGGAGTAGGGAGAATTCTCGGAAATAATGAGAGATAAAGTGAAATCGACCCTAAAATATTAGATACAGCAAATGCTATACTTTAGCATTAAGAAAGACTTAAAATTAGATTAAGAGACAAATACAGAAGAGCAAATCAGGGATTAAGAAAAGTTCCAGAGGACTAAAAGGTATAATAAAAAAACATTTAAATTTATTAGTATAGAAATAGACAGTTGCTAGCAATTTATTCAAACATTGAAAATTAGCAAAAGATGGTACTTGAGCTAGTCAATAGCACCATAACTGCTAGAGAAAAAGATCTAGAAAAGAAGAATCAGGAATTAAAAAGAAAGATTGAAGAGCTTGAGAGATAATAAACAGTTGACCCAATAAGTGAGAGCGATAGTGATGATGAGGATGATAATCAGAGAATAGGAACCAAGAAACAGAGTCAAATTAGTTCTCCTAAAAAGTTTGGGTTACCAGGTACTAGAAATGCTCCAAATCTCTAAGGCTAAAGAAAATCCTTACCATTTTAGGATGATGACGAAGAAGTCGAGCATGAATTCGCTGATGAGTATATTGATCATGGAATAGAAGGAGTTTTAGATAAATATTAGGGATAAGTTGGAAAACTAAATGATTCTAGTTAACTTCCAGGTGATTAGGGCAAAATGATGAATCAATCTTAAGGCAAAGGTTTCACCTTATAAAGAAAAGATAAGTATTCATATGAGGATCCTGATATGAAAAAAAGACCTACTACTCCACTTTATCTTGATGGTTTAAATATGAATATTCCTTCGTAGATCAGAGTGCCAGCATTCTTTCCGGATATGCCAGGTAAACTTCAAAAAATTAAAAAATATTTTAGCTGAATATAGACCATAATAATGAGAATCTCCAATGAGAATGAGAGAGTAAGATAATAATTAATAATTAATATATTAGAGACTTAGAAAATGTTGATTTTTAGAAGGCAAGACAATAAGAATTAGATCGATTAAGAGAACAAACAAGAAAAGACGGTCCTGAACCATTGCTATAAGGATTAGTAAGACTACTTTACTTTTCTTATTTCAATTTAGGGTTTACCAGAATCAGATAGATCTGATGATTTACTGAGAAATATGTAAGGCTGGGATGACAAATTAATGAAGGAATAATAAAAGCAAGAATAGGAATAACAAATGAAAAGAGATAAAAACAACATGCTTAAAGACAGGTTTAAGGAAGCCTTGAGGAGAAAATATGGCTTAGGAAAAGTTAAAGATAAAAGAAGAAGAAAGGTGAAGTTATTTGCATTCTTTGTTTTTCTGAGTTTATGGTACTAAGTCTAGAAAAATAAAGTTGGTAAGAGGCAAAAAGCAATATAGGATATGGAAAATGGAATAAGAATTTACACTGAAGTTGGAAGATAATTCATGCTCAAGGCAGTTAAAAACATTCTTATTAATGTAAGCGTTGTAATTCTTAAGATATATTTAGCTTGTAAATGAGCCAGATCTAGATTTAAGCGTAAATGATTTGCCTAAATCACATGGTTAAACTCTAAGTAGACAATAGCAAAATAAGATTGTAAAAATTTAAGTCAGAATTAAGGGACTGCTTCAGAATATATTTAATGCAGCCAATCCTTAAGAATTTCCATAGGCTCTATCCAAATTTTTGGGGTTGTATACTCAAGATGGAGCATATGTTCCAAAGAAATACCTTTCAAACTTTGAATAAAGTAGATTGAAGATAGATTCATATGGAGCGATGTAAGAATAGTCATTTGATTAGCAGAGTTTGATGGTTGGATTCTTTTTATTCACAAAAATTCTTGTCGGATAATTACTGTTACAAGCAGACTAGTATGTTGGAATAAGAACAGATAAGAATCAGTTATTGAAGAAAAATTTATAAGTACTGGCAACATTCATCTAAGAAATTGTAGCGGATTACTTTATCTAAAAAGCACAAGTGATATCACCAGGTAAATTAATAAAATTAATTTTATATTATTTTAGTGCCCAACCCTCAAGATGATGGAGTTAGATAAAATTTAATTCCAAGCTAAGAATTAGATGCATTCTTCAAATTTTGTGATAAATAGTGGTTAAAAGAGGTGAGAATAATAATTTCTATAATAATAATGTGTAGATAGGAGAACTTTTTTCAGGAACCATGAAAAAGATAGGAATGATGATGGTCAAAGCGAAGGACACTTTAAGGTAGCTATCCTTCATGAGCAATGGTACCAACACCTAGCTTAACAGAAATCCTAGCTTCAACACATTGAGATAATGATATCAATTAAAGAAAAGTCTTTGAAGAGACAAATAATGTAGTCCTCTTAAAGTATTAAGCAAATATAAATGAATATCAAGAAAAATGGATGTTTGATGATTTCTTGAAATTATTTATTTATTGTTGTTATTTATGATAATTAATTAGATGAGAATTGATTTCTTAAAAATATTAAAACTTAAATCATAAATATAATGATTGATAATACAGCAGAAGAATTTACTCTGAAAAACAGATAGTCTACATTTAATCATGAAATTGCAATCATCACCTCTAACATGAGAAGGTAGTCTTCCTTAATGGATAGAAGGGATGGAATACTCATGAATAGAAATATGTTGAGTTCTTTCAATATATCAATTGAAGAAGAGAGTAACAGAGATTATAAGAATTTTCTGGGACAGGCAAAGATGACTCGCTTTTCTTTTCATTAGGATGATAATGAAGCTGGAGACACGCTAGGATTTTTAGGTAATTTGTGAATATTGATTCCTTTTTCAGATATTAAGAAACCATCCAACAAATACAAAGATTTCCAACCTTTTGTAAGTCCAAGATGAAAAAAGAAAGATGGCGAGCCGAAGGAATAAGAAATCAAGATTGATAATGGACTTAGTGATATTAAGAAACCTTATTACCCTGATTTCGGAATGCCAACTTTCTACTAATTTGAAGATTCATAGCCTGCTAATTGGAAGAAGATGTATGAGCAGCTCATAAGGTAGCCTTAGCATACAGCTTTAATTGAGTTTATCAAGCAGAAAAACTATGAAAAAGAGCAGTAATTATATTATTCCTAAAAGCATAATTTATCATATCAAGACTTTAATAATAATGTTAGGTTATAAAAGGAAAGAGAGGAGAGAGAAAAGCAAGAGAAGCTAAATTTGCTTTAAGGTAATCTTGGTCTAAAAAGGAGGCTTACACTTACCAAGAATAAAGATTTTAGAGAATAAGAGGAGAAGAATTTAGAAAACTCTCTTATATCTAATCCCAGAATGCAGAAACGATACATCTAAATGGGTTCAAAATTTAAAAAGCTGAAGACTGATGTCAGCATAATTAATTAGTAATATGAATTATTTGGAGGATTCTTAGAACATATCAGATAGTAAAATCTGCGGAAATTGAATCAATCAATTGACTTTACTGTTCATAAATCTCAAAAACTTGATTCAAATCCATCTTTTATTCGCAGATCATTCCAGAGAGATCGAAGAGAGGGTAATAATGATAATGAAATGAATTTTGAATTAGACTCTAGATAAAATATAAGCATGTTTGATAAATATAAGCAGAGAATACTTTCAACTACTAACAAAAGTTTTCAAATTCAATAGAATTAATAAAACCAAACAAGAAAAGACAGGGATAGTGAAAATCCATATTCTAGAACTATACCAAATACCATTAATAATTCACCTATCTTGAGCCCTACAGGATAACCTAAATTTATATTCAAAGATAGGGAACTGTATGCCCGCAGATTTGAATAGAAGCTATAAATGTTGGAGAGTAAACGAATTCAGCTTAGTGAGAATATCTATGACAAAAAGGATTCTTTAAGAGTCAAAAGCTAGCTTAAACAATGGTTGAATGAGAACAAACTTAATAATAAGAGCAATAATTATATGGAATTCATAGACAAAATGAATAACAAAAAAGGCAAGAAAAAACGTGACAGAAGAGTCAGTACAAGTATAGATTTTAAAAGATAGATTGAATCGCCTGAGATATCAGATAGTGGAGAGGGAAGAGATATAAAACCAGGAGAAAAATTTTTAAACGATAAGTTATTCAGTGACATGAGTGATTAACTAACTCAGACTCAGACACCGCTTGAAAAGATAGATGAGAAGAAAAAGAACTATAAAGTCAAAAAACTACCTAAAATGAAATTGCATACATCTAGTTTGAAAAAAAGGAAAATAATGGAAACCTTAAACATCTATAAGAACGCTATTGTATTAGAATGATCCAAACTAAAGCAAATGATAATTAGAATAAAAATATCTTTAACTATTCACAGATGACTATAAATGAGCTGACTATTAATATTGACACAGTAAAGGACAAGTCTTTTTGAATGTCTAATTTGTTTATCAATAGTATATTAGCATTTCTTGAAGTTTTGTCTTTACCACAATTTATTAATACTTAATTTTCCAATTCTTAATCATACGCAAATTCTTATAATAATATATTAGTGGGGTTTTGGGGTTTTGGGGTTTTGGGGTTTTGGGGTTTTGGGG